GAGGAGGAAGGGGGGATAGAGGGGATAAGGGGGGAAAGGGGAAAGGGAAAAGGGAAAAGGGGAGGGGGAAAGGGACAGGTACTTTAACGGCTGTTGTTGAGACGGTTTTGTAGCCTTCTTGGAGGGCTTGAATGTTGGTTTCGGAGGGGATTTTGAAGAGGGTCAGGCGGCGGATTGTCATTTTGTCTGGGTCTCTGTTTGCTTTCTTTCTTTCGGTTTCTTTCCTTCCCTTTGATCTTTTTCTTTCTCTCTCTCGTTCGGAATCTTCAAATATCTCTTTCTCTCTCTCTGAAAATCGCTTCTCAAGCAATCCACGGATCGAACGGGAAGTTTTGGGACGTCAATTGGGTTCCAATGGATCTTGTTGTGTCGGGTATCGTACGCTTATGGGATACGATGAGTTGAAAGGCGAATCCTGATGTTATGTTATGTTATTGGTTCTGTTACTGTAAAATAGAGAGGGGAGGGGTTTCCCCGGACGGACTGAGGGGGAAGGAAGCTGTAGTTGCGATGCGGGGCACATGGGGCTGTGGTGCGTGGTGGGGCTGAAATTGGCGGATGTCCGATGGGTTTGATGTTAGCTGAGATACAGTACCTATTCTTGTGTTTTTCCTTCTGGGGTTATATATGCTCTGGGTTAGCCTTTTGTTAGAGGAAGTGGTGGGCTGAGGTTTTTCATATATATGAATATCTAGGTGCTTGGAGGTTGTTACTACTAGAGAAGGTAAGGAATAGAAAGTGTAGGTCGCTTTCCCAGTGGGGGCGTAGTTTATAACGCATGGACTACGGTAGTCCATAACCATGTAGTCTATGACGGGGGTCAAATCTTGCCGTTTTTAACCTAGTTAAAGCTAGTTTTAAATGCCCCCTATACTCTATAATTCTCTGTCTACGAGCCGGTTCCGTCACTCCTCTGCCTGTCGCTTTGCGCAGAGGAGGGACAGAACCGGCTATTACTACTACGAAAAAAAATGAAAATTTACGTACTTACCTAGAGGGGCCTACAGGGGGTACAAGGGGTATATATAGAATAAATAGGACCTACAGGTAGAGGGAGAGAGAGTAGGGGGATAGTACCTACCCAGGACTAGAGGGAGGGAGACTTACGAACAACCGATAGATAGATAGATAGAAGGGAGGGAGACTTACGAGTATAGATAGACGACCGACTAATAGATAGATAGATAGATAGCTAGATATATATAGCTAGTATGTATAATTACGTAATTTAGCTTAAAATAATAGTAAAAGTATCCTAGTAAGGTTACTAATAGTTAGCCTATAGTATACCTAGGTATTATTCTAACTACTCCGACTAGGTAAGTGTAACGAATACTCAAACTGGCTAACTAAACTTGGCTGGGTGTTCGCTGGTTGGTATGCTATGATAAGAAGAAGACTATCGGGTTGTTCACTTGGAAGTGAACTCGTTACTTGTATCAAAGATGTC